CTGTATACCTAGAGCAACTAATTAAGCATTTTATCCTCTCTGAATATTAATTTGAAAATCTTCAAACATTTGGTGTCAAAACATGTTTTATTTTGGAAAGAATAAAGTTGAAGCTCGTCCCTTATGCTATCGGCGAAAGAGCGTAAGCGCAGCGGTGTGCACGGCCCAGAGCGAGATCTCCCGCCTCCCCCTCGCTGCGGCAGCTAGAGCAACGACAGACGTCGTCGTACTTCAAGGAGTGGGGAACGCTTGCGCTCCTGAATCTTCTGGCTTCAAACTCGGAACGACCGTGTTCGTCGAAGTATTCCTAATCGCCATCGACGAGATATCCGGAGCTCCTGCAGAATCTCGTGAGCTCTCTAGCGGTTCTCCGTCGTTTCCAGTAGCCGAGCATGCGAAAATATTCTCGTGCGCAGTACCTGTGGGGCCGTCGCTCAGAAAGCGATCGTAAGTTAAGGGGCTTACGTTAATGGCTAAGATCACTATGACGACTCCATCTTAACGTTAGAGAATAGCGTTGACGAGAAACGCATCGCAGCAACCAGGCACTGAAAGGCCACTACCAAAACCAGCCTAATAATTCGCATTTCTGAGGCTCTTGTCACCTGCTGCCACCTGGTGACAAAATCAAGCAACTTCAAATTCAGCTTTTGGCAAAGATAATTAGACGCGATTGTCAATAACTGTAATAAAAGTTTAAATAATAAGGGATTTATCTTAAAAACAAATTTACATGTATATAGTTCATGGAATTTGATGACTGATTCCAAAATAAACTGAAAGCAGTAAGTGTAAGAATACTGCCGCTATTCCTACAGCCAACCTTGCGGGGATAAAAGCCAGGCAGGAGATTCATCTCAACATATTTCATGAAAAGTCATTGCCGAGGCAGAGAGCAGTCGCCGTCTCGATCGCCGAAAAGGATGTCCACATGTTGTCGCGAGCAGAGTGGATGATTCTCGACGTTCTGACTCTCCTGCGAGGCAACTGCAATCTTGACTTTGCGGCATCACTTGTGCGTAGGTGTCTGTCCGCTCTATTGTAGGCCATTAATTGAGATGGCGCTGGCAGCTCCCTGTCGAGACACGTTACATGACCTGCAAAATACCTGTATTGCCTTAATTTAGGAAGTCAATAACTATTGTTATTTTCGTAGTAGACATAAGATTCGCGAGATGTGTTCCTTAGATCCGAGTAAGAGTCATCGAAGAGAGTGGGAAAGCTAGATTTTGTAAAAAGATAAATATTGAACTATTTCACCCACAAATTCTGTATACAACTGTGAGCAAACTTTCTCTACCAGAGATTATAGAGACGCAGATCGCATAAATATATGACGATAACCATTTGAAATTGAAGATTAATTTAAACAAGGGGCAATGCTAAACCTGCTGTACGGGGCATTTGATACTAGTAATTACTACACATAGAAATCATCATTTATCATACGTAATAATTAGTTATCATTACGGAGTTCTTATAGATTTGTAATAATATACTTAGGCATTATATATAAATAAACCATATGGATACCAATGGCAATGACTTATTTCGTCCTTGGAATGAGTCAACGACAATCGTGACATTGTGACAATGCCCAGGTGGCAATGGCAATGCCATGGTAATGACTTACTACTTATAGCTATATTAAGGTTAAATTGACTACGTCACGAATTTTTCTGATGGGTATAATTGGAAAATTTTTGTTGCAATTTTTTTACATGAAAAGTAAGTACTAATGGGACTATAATGTATCGCTCAAATTCTTACCTTGATAAGATTGTTTTTTCACATTAATTAAAGGATTTAAAAACCCCTGGACGATTGTGATATTATGATCCTGACATTAAAGTAATTACGTCACCTCGTAAATAAGCAATAAAATTTAAAAAAATTTCCACTTTTTCACCAAAATAATAAGTAATTCTGTTCCACTTTTTATGGTTAAATTGCTGCATTATACTTCTTATTTTACTATTATGTTTGATGTGAAACATAAGACAGCTCGTGACGGCATACATAAGCCGCATAGCAAGAACTTAAATTGTCAGGACACTAAATATCATAAGTCGTCAGGTTTTTTGGAACTTTTTAAAAACCTAACGTTGAGAAACAATCTTATTAGGAATCGCAGGTACGAAACTTGACGATCACGTTTTAGTCCCATTAGCTTCTTACTTTTAATGGTAAAAAAATGCAACAAAAATTTTAGGCAAATTTACGATAGAAAAATTCGTGACGTAGTCAATTTAATTGCTTGCTATGGCCTATGGGCTATGTAATGAGTTCACGGAGTGTATGGTTTACATCGAACAAAATATATAGTATAATAGGAAAATATAATGCAGCCAATTTAAAGCGCGTAAAAAAGTTGAAGAGAATCACAACTTACCATTTGTGAAAGTGAAAATGTTCTTTTTTAAGCTTTTATACTATTTACAGGGTGAAACAGTAGGCCTAATCACTTTAACTTTAAATCCGCGCACACACGTGAGTAATTTTTTACTTCAAGTACAATGACGCACTGGAGTCATTTTACTTTCACGTGTGGCGGTCGATTTTCGTTGAGTAATTTTGACGCATGCGTAATTTTACTGCAATATCAAACGTGTTTTGATAATCTTTTCGACTCATGCATCAATTCTTCAACTCAAGTGCTGCGCAGCCGCGTGTGATTTTTTTTCCCTTGTTTAATCCAAGAACATAAGGGCTCCTAAGTGAGGCGCTGCATTGGTTGACGCTTGTTTCGTCGCTACCAAGTGGAGCTGCAGCAGCGCCCCGGTCGTCATATTGCCATAGCACATCCAATAAATCCCACTAATTCTCAATTAACGCCTGAGATAGCCGAAACGAGTACAAAGCCACGCCGTCGTCTGCCGACAGCGTGCACGGCTGATAGCACATCGTTGGTCGAATCCCATCCGTTTTTTATTATTTCTTGTTTCTGTAATTTTTCTATTTTATCCATTAACATCCATTTATCCGCATTTTTTTTACAAATAATTTTAATAACAACAGATTAATTTTACACGCAAATTAAAAATTCAATTTTTTATATATTTTTTTAATAAGGTTAGGGTTAGGGTAGGGTCCACAATGCACCATAAAACAGAAAGTCTTGAAGGGCACGTGATTTTGTATCAAGCAAATGGCAAAGCGCTCACTAGCCCCTAATGTTCTTGATTAAAGGGATCGTTTACTCTAGGTTGCTAGGGTTATTTTCAGTTAATTTAGGTTAAAAATTCCGCTACATAAAAAGTTTCAATGTTCAAATCACCATTAGAAATATTATTAAAAAAATATGTTTTGAAACTAACGACTAACAGTTTGATTACAGACGATGGTGGCGCCACTCAAAGCGCACCGATCTGATAAGTTCGCAAAAACCAACTTTCAGCCAAAGGGCTACAGACCGAGGGTGTTTCTTAATTTATTCATTTAAAGCAATAGGAATTGTAATATCTTATAAAAACGACCATAGTAGTTTCAGTTATATTATGGATAAATTTGGTGCGCTAGAGAATAAATATCGTTCGGTTAATATAGCATTTGAGGTATAAATATAATTGCACCTTTGTGATTAGCCCTCGTTCCTGTAATGTGCAAAATAAATTGGCATGCGCAACTTTTTCAGTGGTGGCAGCACGGTCGCGGGTGTCATGGAGCCGTTCAAATTTTGTAAGGCCTCCGCAAATTGTTTCACCGTTGCCTATTTCGCGATCTCTAGAAAATGCCTTTTTTGGCATTTTTCTTTCGCACCCAAATTCACACTACAGTGCATAATTTGCATTATGCACGCAAAGTTAGATGCCTCGTGGACGTCTAGAAAGCAATTAGAAAGAGTAAAATTAGTCGTGTTGTGTATCTCGATGACATATACCGTCAGGTGGCGATAGTCACAGCGACGCAGTTGGTCATTTTGTGGTAAATTGTGGCAGACAACTTTGTAGAAATTTGCATCATAGACGCTTGGCAAAGTATACGAGTGGAGCATAGCGCTTGAAATCTTGTAGTTTTAACGTGAAAAAGACTGTGTTATTGTTTTGTAAGCGCCGTTAACAAGTGTGGAAGTATTTTAAATTAGGCCTGTTGCTCCTGCAACAGTACCGTCGCCGATTTTTTTTCTCTTAAAGTCACGTTATGATTGCCAAGCCGCATTCTATCGGCTGAATAATAACTACCGTGCTTTTTGGTACCGATTTATATATATCCGATATATACGATAACCTAACCCTAACCCTAAACCTAACCCTAACCCTACCCTAACCCTAACCCTAACCCTAACCCTAAACCATAACCCTAACCCTTAACTCTATTAAATTTAATAAAATTTAATTTTTAATTGTTGTAAAATTAATTATGGTTGTTATTAAGAATGTTGTAAATATAATAAATGAAAGAGTGCAAATCATCGCGCTTTAATGACGTCCAGTATGGCGGCGCAGTATGGGGGCGGCCTAACCCTAACCTAAACCCTAATTCTAACCCTAACCCTAACCCTAGGACCTAAACTAACCCTAACCCTAACAATAACAGTTGTTAGGGTTTAGCGGTTGAATTAGGGGTAGGCGTTAGGGTTAGACGCCCCCATACTGCGCCGCATACTGACGTCATAAAGTGTATTTGCACCAATGTAAGATATTTGCGTTAATATTGGAAAAAAAATGTAAACAGATAAAGATAGAAAAATACAGAAACAGGAAAAAATTAGAAAACGGATGGGATTCGATCCCGGCGACCATTCATACTTGGCGCAAGCGCTCTAACCGTTGCGCTGCTGCCACATAGTGAAATTAAAATTTTGGATGTGCTATGTATATCGCGCGAGAAACAAGCTCAACCAATCAGGCGTCAGTACCGTCAGTACCGTGACTTTAAGAGAAAAATAATCGGCGACGTACGTTGCCAGTAGACACTTCTTTTAATTAATACCTGTTCGATGCTTATTCCAGGGCCTGCTGCGCTATGGACACATTTACCTGTTGTTCAGCAACTATACAATCACAACATTAACGAAAATTACATACCAACCTAAACCGACCAGGCTCTCCGACTGTTACACGGCGGAGCAGCCTGACACCCTTCCATACGAAATGCCTGGTTGCTTGAAAACAAACTTCGAATTCCGTAAAATTTCGTAAATAAAACAATCGTATTATCACATTTGACCTCACCTGTTACATGTTGCAACTATCGCTACACTTCTTAATTACTATTTACCTCAAAATACACGTTAAAATAAGATAATTTCGAACAGCCTTTACTTTTGAACGTTTGACAAACGCCATTCTGGATGTTCTTATGTCTCTTTTTGTACGCGAAAATTCACGAACATTTGCTACGTATTATGGCATATCTATTGGAAAATGGCGGCGTTTGTTCAGAGTTTCATCTTAAATCAATTCTAATAATTACTCACTGACACGTAAATACATGCTCAGTGATAGCGCACATATAATAAATCGAGGCGTGGAAGTACAGAAAAGCGATAAGAATCATAAAAAGTTAGATAATTTTACGTTTAATAGCAGCACACATCATGCCGAACAATATTCTATTGCGTCGACTTGTGACCCTCTCGCCATCGTAGTGTTAAGCGAGAAGGGAACTTGTGGCTAATACCAACCATGCTCTCTATCCTTGTACTATTTAGGGCGTAATAATAATAGTAAATACTTAAGCCCGGTGCACACGTGAGTAATTATACTCAAGTAAAATGACGCACGAGTCATTTTACTCACGCGTCATATTTTCAGCGTCCGCCGCAAACGTGAGTAAAATTACTCAAGGAATAAGTGGTAATGCAGATAACTGTGACTGTGCGCAGCCAATACTGGGCGCACAATGATTTAAACGCATGCGCTGTGAGTACCAGTGTTGAGTAAATTTTTCACGTGTGATTTTTTTCCTAGGTTAAAGGGATAGTATACTCTAGGATTTTACTGCATACAACTGTACTTACTGTATAACAAATCGTCTATACCCACATGTATTTGTTACCAGATACCTAATTTAATTGTTATAATTAATTACACATCAACGCTACGAAATTTGAACGGCGCCATGACACCCGCGACCGTGCTGCGATCCAACGACCTATCAGCCGTGACGCTGTCGGCAGACGACGGTCGTGCTTTGTACTCGTTTCGGCTATTCAGGGTTAATTAGATATTAGTGGGATTTATGGATGTGCTATGGCAATATGACGACACGGGTCGCTTCAGTCCGATTGTAGCGACGAAAGCAAGCTCAACCAATGCAGCGCCTCAACTTAGAGGCCCTTATGTCTCTTGGATTAAACGAAGGAAAAAAATCACAAACGCGCGCGCAGCAACGTTGAGTAAGAATATGATGCATGACAGTCGAAAATTATCAAAACACGTTTGATATTGAGTAAAATTACGCATGCGTCAAATTACTCAACGAAAATCCGCCGCACACGTGAGTAAAATGACTCGTGCGTCATTTTACTTGAGTAAAATTACTCACGTGTGTGCCGGGATTTAAAGTTAAAGTGATTAGGCCTACGTCACCGTAAATAGTAAAAGTTAAAAAAAACATTTCACTTTTCACAAAGATCCTTCACTTTTACGGTTAAATTCTGCATTATATTTCCTATTTTACTATATATTTTGTTCGATGTAAACATACACTCGTGACTCATACATAGCCCATAGGCATAGCAAGCAATTAAATTGACTACGTCACGAATTTTCTATGGTAAAATTTGTAAAATTTTTTGTTGATTTTTTTACATTAAAAGTAAGAGACTAAGGGACTAAACGTATCGTCAATTCTTACCTGATAAGATTGTTTCTCAACTAGTTAAAAATCCAAAAAACCTGGACGATTTGATATTAGTGTTCCTGACATTAATTGCTTGCTATGGGCTATGTATGCGTCACGAGTGTATGTTTACATCGAACAAAATATATAGTAAAATAGGAAATATAATGCAGAAATTTAACCGTAAAAAGTGAAGCATTTGTGGAAAAGTGGAAATGTTTTTTTTAACTTTTACTATTTACGGTGATGTAGGCCTAATCACTTTAACTTTAAAGCCCGGCACACACGTGAGTAATTTTACTCAAGTAAAATGACGCA